GAGATGCTACAGCAAGTCCCAAAGGTGAATCATAAAAAAGATCTTTGGGATTTTGGAACAAGGCTTTACCATCATCTGCAGACAACTATCCTCTCTTTGAGTGATAGCTATTTTCCTACTTTTGGACCTCAATGGAAACTGAACGTTTGACCATAGGACACTAAGCTGCTATGTAACCAGAGCTGTTCATTGTGAGCTGGGTGTTATCTGACTCAAGTCGTAAGGTAGACTCACAGCAGCAATGTATTATCAAATGGAAGTAGTATGTATGTGCCTGGGTCCATGCAGGCCCTGACGGCACAAGCAAGTTACATGAAGAAGTTGCCCAGACACCTATGGTTTCTACTCCCAGTATAAAGCAGTCTATTGACAAACATGCATCTATAGCCTCATGGGTTGTGCCCTATGACTGGTTGACTGAGGAAGAGAAGTCTAGAACCTGGTTTACTGATGGTTCTGCATGTTATACAGGTACCACCCAGATGTGGACAGCTGCCCCATCACAACCTCTGTCTGGAACAACCCTGAAAGACACTGGTAAAGGGAAAATGTCATAGTGGACAGACCTTCAGGCAGTACACATAATCGTATATTTTATTTTGAAGACGAAATGGTCAGATTGTGATTGTTCATTGACTCATGGGCTATAGCCAATGGATTGGCTGATGGTCATGAACTTGGAAAGAACATGATTGGAAAATGAATGAGAAAGGCATCTGGGGTAGATTTCTCTAAATGGGTAAAGGATGTGAGGATACTTGTTTCCCATGTAAATAAATGTTCATCAAAAGGAAACTTCAGCTGAGGAGAGGTTCAGTAACTAAGTAGATAGAATGACCTGGTCAATGCACAGTCAACCTCTTTCCCCAGCCATTCCTATCATTGCCCAGTGGATCCAGGAACAAAGAGGTCATGGTGACAGAGATGAAGGTTATTCATTGGCTGGACAATACTCCATTCATGGAAGCTGACCTTGCCACAGCTGCTTCTGAGTGCCAGATCTGTCAACAAGCAGAGACCAACAATGAGCCCCAGATATGGCATCATTCCCCATAGCGACCAGCCTGTGACCTGGTGGCAGGGTGACTGCATTGGACCACTTCCTCCATGGGAAGGACAACACATTGTCCTTACTGGAGTAGATACTTGTTCTGGTTATGGCTTTGCCTTTCCTGCATGTAATGCTTCTGCCAAAGCCATCACTCGTGGACTTAAAAGAATGTTTTATCCACCATCATGGTATTCTATACAGTTTTGCTTCTGACCAAGGAACTCATTTCACAGTCAGAGAAGTGAAACAGTGGGCTCACAAACACAGGATCAGGTCTTACCATGTTCCCCACCATCCTGAGGCAGCCAATATGATAGAAAATTGGTATGGCCTTTTGATGACACAGTTAGAGTTGTCATTGAGGTGGCAGTAGCATGGAGGGTTGGGGCAAAGTTCTCTAGAAGACAGTATAAGTTTTGAATCAACATCTGATATATGATATGGTTTTTCTAATAGTCCAGGAAACAAGGGGTGGAAAAGGGAATAGTTCCACTCACTGTCCCCCCCCCCCACCCCATTAGCCTCTAGGAAACATTTTTTTGCTTTCTGTTCTGCTGGCCTAGACGTTTTGGTACCAGAGCTGGGAATCTTTTTTCTAGGAGCCACAGCAAACATTCCACTGACTTCTCCCTGGCTACTTTGGATTTCTGATGCCCTTAAGCCAACAGGCTAAGCAAGGAGTAATAGTATTAGGAGGGGTGGTTGATCCAGATTACCACAGGAGGGATTGGATCTCTTCTCCACAATGGAGGCAAGAAAGATTATGTCTGAAGTGCAGATCCTTTAGGGCATCTCTTGGTGCTACCATGTCCTAGGATTAAAGCCTATGGGAAACTAATCCAGGCAGGATGACAAAGGGCACAGACCCTTCAGCAATGATGGTATGGGTCACTCCTCTAGGAACAGAGCCAAGACCTGTTGAGGTGCTTGCTGAAGGTAGAGGAAATACAGAATAGGTAGTAGAGGAAGGTAGTTGTAAATATCAGCTAAGATTATGTGACCAGTTGCAGAAAAAGAGGACTACAATTGATTTGAATGTTTCTGTTGTATTTTATTAAGAATGTTCATACAATATTTGTGTTTTCTTTTCTTAATTACTTTAGTATATGATGTAACATCAATTAGGCATAGTTATGACCTGGTCATATATATATAGATAGATAGATAGATAGATAGATAGATAGATAGATAGATATAGATATAGATATATAGATATATAGATATATATAGATATAGATATAGATATATAATGTGTTTGCAATTGTACATGAAATAGTTATATTATGTTTAGGTGTTACTATGTCCGGGTTATTGTTTTCATTTGGAAATTAGTTGACAAGGAGTGAGTTTATGGTGACTACTCTTGGTTGTCAACTTAACTATATCTGGAATAATTCAGAACTCAGAAATGGAGGGCACACCTGTGAGGGATTTCTGCTTAATTTGAAGTGGGAAGATCTACTTCTAATCAGATCTTCGAGGCAGGAAGAGCTTTAACAAAGATCTAATCTGGTCCACACTTTCTGCTGGAGCCTAAGGACACAGAAGAAGGAAGCTTCTGCTCTTTTCCTGCTTGCTAGCAAGTGTATTCCTTTATAGGCATTAGAGCCAGGATTCCAGTGTACACTGAAAACCAACTGAGACATCCAGCTTTATCATCTGGATTCTTGAACTTTCTGTTCATAGGCAGCCATTGTTGGATTAGCTGGACTTCAGCCTGCCAAGTCATTCTAATAATCACCTTTTTATAGAGATTCATTCTATAAATACTGTTAGTCTAGAAAGCCCTGACTAATACAAAGAGTATTCTCAAAGAAATCTGAATACACTCAAGTTTTTGGATGTTTGTGTGTGTTTTGTTTTTGTTTTGTTTTTTGATGGTGCCAGAGATTATGCACTAGAAATGTGCTGAGAAACTAGGAGTTAGACACCCTGGCTGGCAGACAGGTAGGGAGGAGGCCATAGGAAGGTAATATAAAGGTGGCGAATTTTCAAAACAGCAGGCTTCTTCCTCACCATCCTGATTTGAAGTAAGAACCTGGCAATTTAAAACAAAGGCCCAGTAGGCTTCCGTCTCCTATCTGCAGGCCCCTTGCTGAGAGACTGGCTCAACTGGTTCAAGGCAGGATCAGAACTGGTTATACCACTGTGGTGGGCTAATTAACTATTCCATCTTTCTTCAAACCTGCCAACTCTTCAGTAGGTGGAGGAAAACTCTTGGGGGGTTGGGGAGGGGGGCAGAAAGCCATCCCCAGAGAAGCCTTTATTCAATAGCTGATTCTGTCTGCTGCTGTCTCTGGTATTTGTTGAGACTTTTCTGATGCTACCTGTTATGCTCAGAATTTTTTCCTGCCTCTTAATTCTTTAACTGGCAGAGAAAATGAACCCATCAAGACCTCTTGACTGTATCAACTGACTACACTGCCTACCCAAGAATATTTAACTTTGCTTGAAGGTCAGCTTGAGATTTTTAATCCTGTGAGAGATAATACTTACTGGAAAGAAAGTGCAAAGAATTGTAAAATACATAGGGAAATATATTTAATTTCTGCCTTCAATAACTATATATTTAATGGGTACATACTATTAATGTGGAACATTAAGTACTAAAACAGGAAGGGCAAAATATGTGGCTATATCATGCTTAATTTTTGTTTTCATTTTATGTGTTTGGGCATTTTGCCTGTGTGAATACACACCACGTGTACTCAGTGCCTGAGGAGATCAGATCCCCTGAAACTCAAGTTCCAGGCTTCGAAACATCATGTAGGTGCTGTGGTTGAACTCAGGACCAGTGGAAAAGCAGCCACTGCTTTGCTGCTGATCCGTGTCTCCAGACCCTCAATTACCGTTAAGTGAATGTAAAACCGCCTAGCCAACTAAGATACATTCACACACTCATTTAACCTACCTGTTTCTGTATTCAGAATGTATTCCATTCCTAACAATTTTCCTTTAAAAAACAAAATTGGTAGTATCGAAGTCTTAATCTGAATATCCAGCTGTTTATAACGTTTAAAAAAAAATTCCTCCCTCTTTTGCTCTCCCTATTTACCAAGCACACTGCCAGATGTGCTTAACTCGTACAGTTTGCTGTTCCATCCTGAAACTTTTGTATTGCCACAGGCACACACATTCAAAAGAAGGGTATTACATAGTCCTTCTAAAGTTGACTTCTCAGTATTACAAAATCTTATCTTTGAACACTTTCAGGATCAGTATATAAAATCCCAAAACATCATACTTTGTTGGTGAACATATCATTTCTCATTTCTCACTGTTAAAAACGTTACATCGGTAACCTTTGTGCTAGGCATCTAGATTCTAGAAATCCAGCAAATCTTTCAAGTCGTGTTTTGAAAGGCGCTGTTAGGATAAATCAAGTTCGAATCAGTTCTATCAGGTGTTAGTTGACCCGCTATTAATCCTAACTCTAAAGCTTACAGTTCTGTTCTTTCAGAGGTCTGCCTAAAGGACTTAAATCCTTGTGGAAGTTTCTTAAACCTCTCAGATGCAATCCCTTCAGTAACTCCAGACATTTGGGATTAAAATTTTCATTCTGGCACTCGCTAGAGAAAACCGACATCCCAGAGCCAAGCAAAGATCTTTTAGGACAATAGAGAACTGTGATGCAAAAGAATTCCTGAAGGGAGAGGGCCAGGAGAATACGCATTCGCGCGCGTTATCATTAGCATGGGCAAACCTATTTCCAGCATGTGGCCTGTTAGGGGGGGTGACTGGTGCACTCAGCACGCCTCCCTGGACCTGCAGGCCAAGGAGTTGTTTTCCTAGCCAGGTCCGCACATCCGCCCCTGCGCATTCGCCTAAATTCAAACCAGAAGCCAAGGCGCAGACGCAGCCTCCCACCGTCCACTTACTTCCCCAGGGAGGGGCGGAGCAGCCGTGTCTTCCGGGTCGCAAACGGAAGTGGACGAATTTGAATTCTGCGAGCCGTTGGATGGGGCTGAGCCGGGTGGGCGTACGGCAGCGCTGCGGTCGACGTGAGCGGTAACGCAGCGATCCTGGGACTTCTGCTCCGTGCCTGGTGAGGACACGTCCGGGAGGGACGGAGGGTCACGGGCGGCCGGGTAGGTGTGAGCGCTAGGGGCTTCTCCGTGCGCTGGACGGTGCGCACTGCAGCTGTCGAGCCCGGAGCTGCCCTTTATTAGAGACAGAAGTGGGGAGGGTTGCACGGAGGGGATGCTCGTTGTGGCTCCCAGTGGCTCCTGAGACTGGTCCCTTACCGCAGGGAAATGACAGCCTTGAAATTCCTCGAGGGGATTTAAGCTGAAATCCGAGTATCCTTTGTGTTTTAAAACCGGGGTATTTTTCTTTCACACCTTGACGTTTCTCGTGTACCACAAAAATCTGAGCCCTATTGCTCATTTAAACAGGCAACAGTAGCAGCGGTGGCTCACAGATGTAAGTTTGCTAACAATGGGGATAGGGTCTAGTGTCACCCCTCCCCAACCCCCACCCCGTTCCGTCCGGTCCCTGCTTTTCACCCTTTGCATTCATTGAGTGACTGTTATTATCGAGTTATTTTTGAGGAACTCAGTGCCTCAAGAAGTTTTCTTCGAGCGTTTTTGAGCTTTCTTTTTGTTCATCTCTTATGATGAACTGGACTCTCACCAACTCCGACAAAAAGCCATACTTTTTTTTTTTTTAATAGCTTAGATGTGCACGGTAAACGTAAACTTTCTTCTGAAAGAAGTTCTATGTTTTTGCTTTATTGAAAACTGTCAGGTTGCTTGTGTGCTTTGTAGAAGAAAAAAAAAGATACAGAGATCCTTTTAAGGTTTTAGCAACTGGGTAATGTGTCATCAAAATGTATAAATATCATTTTGAAGTGGTACTTAGTAACATCCAAAGTAAAATCATTTCTCCATCCTCCTCCGTGCCTGCCAATGAACGTTGATTTTAGTATTCACCAAGAAGGAGAAAAACTAAACAGCAAGATCACTGAGATGAAAGTGTTTTTAATAAGGCTGTCATAAAGCTATTGGTTGTCCTTTGCCAGAGAATGCAGTCAAATCTGCTAGCTTCATAAACGGGACCAGCAAGTCACCTGGTTTAGATTTTCTGTATCCTAATGTGCTTTTGCTTCCAGTCTCTTCCTTCATGTTTTTTGTTTGTTTGTTTGTTTGTTTGATTGATTGGTTTTGTTTTGCCTACATCAATAAGTGTCATATTTCATTGTACGCATACTCCTATCAAGTTTCCTTCAATGCTGGTGCTTGTACTCAGACTTCACAGATTTTGACTTTCTAGAGGGTGGACTTGGATAATTGCCTTTTAACTGAAAAGTTAGACTGTTCTACCAGAGGTTTAAAAACATGGTCTTCCTAGAAAAAGCTGGTAATATATTAAAGACATACAACCAGAACCTGACTTCTGTTTAGAATCCCGTCACTAGTAACTCATAGCTGTGTGACCTTGACTGGGGTTACTGCTTAACCTCCCTGATTCAAGTCTTTTGGGTGTATAATGGGGATAAGGATCCCGTTGTGTGATTATTGTGGGAATTCAAGGAACTATTACATGTATATAAAGCATGGTCAATGAGAACAGGTGTCTAAGACACAGCTACTAACCATGGTACACCATAGCACGCGTTTTCTTTAACCTTTACAGTGTATATATGAGATACAGTTTCCATAAGTAAGCAAACCAGGATCTAGTAATTTGTTCTTATGTAACTAAGAAAAGTGAAGATCAGAAACTAAATTTAACTAATTTCCAGGGTTTTCCCATTTTATTCAATATATGATTCAAATCTCAGCTTCTTAAAACAGACAGACAGACAGACAGACAGACAGACAGACAGGCAGGCAGGCAGGCAGGCAGGCCTTTGCAGCCTGGCTGCAGACAGTCTGACTCCAAACTCAAGTGATACACACAAATGGGGGGAATACTGAAATAACCCCTGAAGAAATTTCATATAAGAAATGAAAGACCAATCAATATTTGTTCATATTCATGACTTTAGCTGCTTTATACACATTTTCTCACCTAAGCCTGATAGCATTTTTATTAACCCTATATTAAGATAAACTGGGGTACCAAAATATTTAATAATTTTTAAAGTGTATTTTTTATGTTTGATGCTATGTGTGAAAATGAGTGAGGTACACAGTATAATTAGCTAGTGAGAACTACAAAGCAGAAGACCTTACTATCTTGCCAGCATTCTCTTCTGTTAAAAAAAAAAAAAAAAAAATCTGTCCAGTAATGTTGGGCCATCCTTCTAAAGACCACTGGCTGGGGTGATCTGCAAACTGTATCCTACCATTAGATACTCCTGCAGAGAAAATGGTACACTTTTTTGAATCAAGCTTGCATACTTAACACAAATCTAGAATTAAATCTCTCATGTGATTTCTTCTTGAATTTTGGAGTTGGGATGCAACAAGATTTTGGAATCTAGGCTGCAGAGATCTTTCTGTGTGTTACAGTGACCCTAGAATCATGAGCAGTGGGCATCGTGACCCAGTATGTAGACACCAAAAGAACCCGTCTCCTGGGCTATATAAAAATCAGTACACATTGGCAGCCCGTTGAGTTTTCCTTTTAATTTAAAGGGATATCACTAATATAAAATTCATCTGGTAGTTCAGTTTGTAAGCAGTGCATATGCTCCATCTTAGGTGTATAATTAAATTAGTGGCATTCCATTGTACAGATGTGTTTAAATTAGTGGCATTCCATTGTACAGATGTGTTTAAATCCATTCATCTATTAATCACTGGAATTTTAGCCACCACTGAAAAACTACTTGGACATTTGTGTGTAGTGAATATGCGTCCATCCAGTGTATGACAGAAATAGTTGTACACCTAATATTTTCTAGGTAAGAGTAACATGAAATTAACCATTGTAAATATACTGTTCACTGGCAGCACATTTATAATGTAAAGCCATCACCCCTGCCTAATTTGAAAAAAGAGTCACAACAAAAAAGGCGGCGAAAGTTCTCAGCCTGCCCTCTACTGAGCCTCCCGTTTCATAGGTGACTGATCTAATGTCTCCCTTTTTCCACCTCATTAATCTCTGATTTGTATTTTGGTTACTTTGGCTAAGAACGTCAGTCATATTTCACATCAAATCATTTCTGGAGTCTTTCTCGTGTTAACTTTGTAACTCTTGTGTTAATTTTCTTCTGTCTCTTACTTCTGGCCTCTGCTTTGGCGCTTGGTCCTGTTGCTGTAAGTCTTTGATGTACGTCATTGAGTTCTCTCTGGTTTTAATAATGTAAGCATGCACAGCCATGAACTTTCCTCTGCTTTTACTGTTTCTTTTTAGGGACTAGAAACTCCTACAAGGTCTCAAGTCACTGAACTAAAGCCAACCCTGCTTTTTTAGTGTTTCTTAAAGGCGCTGATAAGTTATATTTTCTTTTTCAGTTGATTGTAAATTTTTTTAATGTATGTTTTTAGATTTTTTTCAAGTCCATCAGGGATCTAGTAATTTAAGAGTATATTACTACATTTCATGATGTATGATTTCTGTTGATTTCTAGTCTTTTATTATGATCTGCTCTAAGTACAAGAAGTTATTTTTTTTGTGTGGGTTTTGGCACTCTTTCAGTCTTTCTTAAGCATAACCTGTTAAGTTATACACAAACAAATTAAAGGAGTTAATTGTTCACCACTTTACTCCAGAACCCTCACAAATTCTTCTTTCTTTCACAGCTCTGTTAATGTATATGAATGTTTTGCCTGCATGCATGTATGCGTGTCTCATGCATGCCGGGTGCCTATAGAGGTCAAAAGAAGGCATTGGATCCCCTGGAGCTGGAGTTAGAGATGGTTGTAAGCCACCATGTGAGTTTTAGGAACTAGGGATCTTTGGCAAGAGCAGAGCCCTTAACCATTCAGCCATCTCTCCATCCGTCTGGCGAATCTTACTTCATGTTAACGATTGTCTTGTTTGCTTTTTCTAGAAATGTACTTTTAGTTTTTGAGACAGGATCTCACTATTGCAGTCTTGGCTGGCTTGAAGCTCACTGTGTAGACAAGTCTAGCCATGGACTCCCACAGAAATCCCCCTGCCTTTTGAGTGCTGTTACGAAAGACTTCCACCACCATGTTCAGCTAAGATGTACTTTTAGAATTTATGTATTAGCTCTGTGATCCAGTTTTTGGTTTCTGATATATTTCTGAATCTATTTGAGTCTTTTATTCGGTTATTTTGTTGCAGCTTCTTTCACTTTTGTTAATTTTTTCTGGAGTTAGGAATCAAACCCAGGGCTCTCTGCGTATTACACATGCCTTATAGCAGGGCTATGTCTTAGCTTCCTGTCTTGTGTCTCATTCTGCTGCTTTACTGAGTTGTGTTCTTTATGCATCATGAACGTAAATCTTTTGTCAGGTACATCCTGCAAATGTTTTTTCCTTGTGAATCTTTCCATTTTCACAACTTGGAAAATTCTTCCTTTACCACGATCAAAACTAGTTTTTCTCTTAGAACATTCATGTTTTTTTATGTAGTATTTCTGTATGGAAGTCAGTGTTTATTTTTTCTTCCCAAACAAAAAAGCCAATTATTTCTATAGTATTGATTGCGCAGATTGTCAATTCTGGAGTTATTAAACCATGCTTTTGTTGTTGTATAGCCATTAGGCGCGTGGGAGGGAATGTGGCCTCCTTTGTTATATTGTCCATCTATTAACACTTTAAATCACCTCTGAAACTTGACTTAAAACAAAAGTCATTGTAATATCTCTGGATCAAGAATTAGGAACCACCTCAGGGCCTCTCTGAAGTTACGTCAGATTCTGTCTCCGGAAGTCTAAGACAGATAGTATGTGCAGTGTGTGCTTATGTCATAAAGCCCATGTCTACAGTAGAGCTCTGCATTCCATACTCAGCGTCTCTCATTCCTCTTCGTGAAGCGTCTTGGAAGTTCTTGTCATCTGGCAACAAGCTGCTAGATATGACAAGAGAACAAGGAGGAAGTAACTGACTTTTATGGCGTGGCCGTGCGTGAGTGGTTTGAGCACTGCTGAGCCGGACACTTGGCAAGTACGCCAGGCACAATAGACACTCATAAAGTAGTGCTGTACCGGGCACTAATGCAAGAGCCGCGCTGCTGCTCCCATGATGCAAGGGTTTTCCTTCCTAAACAGTGAACAGATTTTCAAATTCAGTACAAAGCGCTTTGTTTTACACAGGAGTTGTAGTTCTGGACAAACACTGTCCTAACATAGCAAAAGGCAGGGGGAAAAGGAAAAGATGTTTAACGGGTATTAGTTTAATATTTTTTCAGAAATGTAAGAGTCCAGGCAGTTCTTTGCTGTGTAGGACTTTTTGGTGCACTGCAGGGTATCCCACAATCCTAGTTTAAGTGTTTTAATAAATATTCTCTCTAGCATCTTCAAATTTACCACTCCACTTGAACTATCACTTGTTCAAAAGTGAGGACATTACCTACTGTACTACAGTATGAAATGATTATATATTATTTGATTATAATTATATACTGACTAAATTTAATAAAATAGTTAATTTGAGATTTTCGAAATTAAGATAATCAATATGCTCTTATTTTTCCTAGTAAAATGAATGAAAATAAACCTGATAATTCACAAAGTCTTGGTAAGTAATTGAATTTAAAATATTTTTACTATAATAAAATCCATTTAGAATGCTATCCAGCCAGTAAGAATGATTATTCTGACACATGCTTAGTTAATATGTCCTATTAAATTATAACGATTATGTTCATTTCCACAAACTAAATTTGTTGCTAGGGGACATTTGTCAAATTTATTTTTCTATATTTTATATGCTTTATCAAATACACTTTGAATCTGAATAAACCGTTTAATTTTTAATGGCTTTCCCTTTGATAAATGAAGACAGTCTAAGCAGTAGACAAAAGTCTAATATGAAAAGGAAAGTTTCTAAGTTTACAATTCTCCCTGTTGATACATAGCTGTTTTATAGACAGAGTCTGCCGACTTGCTACCTTGAATGATGAAGAATCTAAATTATTACTGTATACTTGTATACACTACTTCATTTAGGCTTTGTGGGGCTTTTATTTGTTTTGCTTTGAGACAGTCTCACTGTGGTTTTTTTTTCTGACTAGCAAATGTAGTGTACTTACTCACTATGTGGACCAGGCTAGCAGCCTTGAACTCACAGAAATCCACCTTCTTCTCCCTCACTTGTGCTGGGATCAGGGGTGTGTGCCAGCATGCCTGGGATCAGGGGTGTGTGCCAGCATGCCTGGGATCAGGGGTGTGTGCCAGCATGCCTGGTCAGAGGTGTGTGCCAGCATGCCTATGCCTAGCTCTTTTTTTTAGATCGGATCTCGTTGAATGTTGAGCTTCTCCATTTGCCTCAACTGGCTAGGACAGGATCCAGGTTTCTGTCTCCTCGGCACAGCAATTACAGACATGCATAATTGAGTCTACCTATCTTATAGGTGCCTCAGATTCAAACTCCAGTCCTCAGGGTTATGTGATAAACCTTATACCAGCTCTCTTGACAGTCATTTTTATTGTATCTGTTGATTTGCTCCTACCAACTCCTGTACCCCACATATCTCTTGTCTTGCCTTGTTATGCCTCCTGATTGTATCAGCAATGCCAGGAGTAGGGAAATGTTGATGATTTATGTAATACCGTTGTACATTTGCTGGATGTATTCTTCATTTCCCTCCAGGTTAATGCCTCTACTCTTTACTTATATCAGTGTGCTTAATATTAATAGGAGCCAGTATTTGCTGTAGTTAAAGGTAATTTTAACAGTGTATATAACGAATTAGAACAGTTTCAATGAATTTGTAATAGTCTGCTATCAAAATTAAAAAGTAGTCTTACAAAGATGAATACTTGAGCTGGAGTACCCTGCGCCTTCAGGGCCCTTTATTGATTCAAGGTCTTTTTAATGTATTGGGTATGAATGTACCTCAAGCTCCTCCAGCACTTGGTTTGGTTTTTCTTGTGTTTTTATGAGCTTGGTTATATCTGTGGGTGCACACAAGACACCTGTGCACTTCAATACATGTGTGAGCTTTTTAAAAGATAGATATATAGATCCATTCTTCCCAACTTCTAAACCAGCTTTTTTTATTTTGTTTGTTTGTTTGTTTTTTTTGTTTGTTTTTGGCCTGTCAGCTGCTTGCCCTAGACTTTTATGGCTGCTGTCTGTGTTTAACCCTAAGAGAATTCTGATGCTGGTAAAACAAGCCAGCATTTGACTAAATCCCTTAGGGAGCTACCACACAGGTAAAAGCATAAACACATTTAGCTGGGGATGAGGTCTGTGTTACTTCCTTTTAGACTAGCAGTCTGTTACCATAGACATGAGCCAACCAAGGCCATCTAAACAAAACTGAGCTGGGGCTGTGCAGCAGAGGGGAACGTCCTTGTCGTGCTGGTGTGAATGCTTGAGTTCACATCTCCAGAACTCACAGCAAGTTGGTCCTGGTAGCACGTGGCTGTAATCCTAGTGTTGTAGATATGAGCATAGACTGGACACTTCTGGGAAGCTCATGAGTCAGCTAGGAAAAGGGAGTACTGAAACACCCGAGGTGTCTTCAGACCGCCATATGTGTACCATGGCCACTGTTGAAACGGGTATACTTCAGAGAAGCACTAATTCTATAAATGATCTTGTCATTTTAAATTTACTTTTTTGCTATTAGCTTGTGTTTTCTGCCGAAAAAATGATGACTGTCCCAATAAATACGGAGAAAAGAAAACGTGTGAAAAATGGAATTTCAGTGTCCACTACTACTGTTTGGTAAGTCAGGTGGTGTGAGCTGCCTCTTAATTGGTCATGAAAAATAGCAATGTATACATTTGTTAAATTCCAACCTGTTTTCTTGGAGTGTATTTTCTAATTGAGAATGTATTCATAGTTAATGTCAAGTGGAATTTGGCAGAGGGGTGAAGAAGAAGAAGGAGTTTATGGTTTCCTCATAGAAGACATCAGGAAGGAAGTCCATAGAGCTTCCAAACTGGTAAGCTCTTGTTTATTCATTATGCTGAGTACCACAGGTGCTGCTGGTGCAGCCTTGGGAAGTTTCTTGTTAGTCCCTGGATTAGAAACTCATGACTTCTTATTCTAATAGATATTTTTACCAAATGTGATGAGTCCTAATAAACATTTTTATATTTTTACAAAAGAAGAGTTTAACCTACACTGAAGAATATTTTTTATCAGGAGGGAACTGCTGTTCATTACTTCACTCCCTTTCGGGTTTAATTTAGTTTTAGTTTTTGAAGCTGCCCTACGAGCTTTGTTCTTAATCTCTTTCTCCCCAACCCTTTCTCCGCCTTCATTTATTCCATTAAAAGTTATTATTGGCATGTGTTACTTATACACGCTAACGAGTTACCTAATTTTGGTATATACATATATCTAGAGGTAGACAGATGGAATATATTTGTATTGTATTTGCCTCCGTTGCCTCTTCCTCCTGTGCGGCCCTCTCACCTAGTCCTTTTACTTTCATGTTCTTCCTTACTCATGTTTTGATGACCTGAGTTTTATTAAGAGCACATAAAGCATCCTGGGTGAGCATCTATTTACAGGATCATGAGCTCCTTACAGTGGCAATACCATGGAAGAAAATGCCCCTTCCTCCCCTAGCAACCATTAACTTCCTGTAGATACTCAGAAAGGTAGTGCCTCTTTACCCCAGCCTCCCTAGCTGCTGTCATCAGCCAAGGAGCTCAGAGGCAGCAGGGAGACCTATGAACTCTTCTCAAGACAGGGTGTCAGTGGCCAGTCTTGTGGGCTTTGGTGCTATGAGGCTGGGGGTGAGAACAATGCCCTGGTCCAAAGGCACTGTTCCACCTCCCTCTCCTCTGCTTCTTCCATCCTCATGTTCCGTGATATCCCCTGGGCCTGGGAAAGGGTAAAGATTGAACACTTATGTTCCTTACTAGGAGTTTGATCTTCTCCAGAATGATCTGTTTTCTTAGGGTTCCTGTCTTAGGGTTACTATTCTGCGATGAAACATGACCAAAAGCAACTTGGAGAGAAAAGGATTTACATTTCCACATCACTGTTTTTTAAAGGAAGACAGGACAGGAACTCACAGGGACCATGGGGGAAGGGGTTAAGAATGTAGGGACATACTGACTTGCTCTAATGGCTTACCCAAGCCTGCTTTAAAAAAAAAAAAAAATAGAACTCAGCATCACCAACCCAAGGTTGGCTCTACCTACAGCAGGCCTTTCCAGTCAGTAATTAAGAAAATATCCCTCCGGTTTGTCCACAGCTGAATCTTATGGAGGCATTTTCTCAATTACGGTTCCCTCCTCTCTAGCCTAGATCAAGTTGACAAAACTAGCCAGCCCAGTTTCTCCCCCCCCAACCACCTTCTCAATTTTAGGATTTGCTAAACTTGCTACAATATCAGTTTTGAGTTTGGCTTGTTTTGTTTAGTGCAATAGTTTCCATTTCTATCCATTCTTGTGCCAATATCTGAAAGAAAAAAAAAGAATAGTTATATTTGGTCTGAGTAGAAATAATGAGAATTGAAGATTGAAAAAGTTGAAAATACTCGTTCTTTTCAAGGAATGTGATACTAGATACTGATTTTCATAGTACACAGCTTTAGATATGATAATTTACCATTTTGCTCATTCCAGGGCATAGAGTACTAAAATATTGTAGTTCAGGGACTCAAAGGTTGTCACAAAAACACTGCAGTAACTTAGATTAATGACAGGTGTTAAATTAGCATAGAGAAAGCCTGTGACTTCAGTTCCAAAGTCTTGAGCTAGAGGAAAGTCTGGGTGACAGAAGGCTAGGTTACAATTGACATAGTCTGTGATGTCCTGTAATCTCTAACACAGCCCGGCTTGTCCTCCCAGCCCCATGCTCACATAAATAAGACTCAGACTCAAAATATATTTACAGCTACTTTGGTCTTATTGCCAGCCTCTTCTCTTACTAGAATCATAACTTAAGATAGCCCATATAGGGCTGGAGAGATGGCTCGGTGGTTAAGAGCATTGACTGCTCTTCCAGAGGTCCTGAGTTCAAATCCCAGCAACCACATGGTGGCTCACAACCATCTGTAATGAGATCTGATGCCCTCTTCTGGTGTGTCTGAAGACAGCTACAGTGTATTCATAATAAATAAATAAATAAATAAATAAATAAGTAAATCTTTAAAAAAAAAAAAAAAAAAAGATAGCCCATATATTTTAACCAGGATTCTGCCATGTGTCTGGTCACCCGTGCTCAGGTACCATGTGTCTGTCTCCTCTCATTTCTTGGGCAGCTCTCATACCTGGCTCTATCCCAGAATCCTTTCTCTTTTTCCCACCTCTGTTTCCTGCCTAGACATAGGCCATGGGCTTCTTTATTGACAAGTGATGTTTCCATACCACACACAGTGGATTCTCTCTACAGAGTATTACGTTTCTCTCGCTGTCTCTGTAGTCCATTCTCAGGGTGTGCCAGTTGTGAAAAAGAAGGTTGATGAGAAAGTACAGCAGTGTCTGTCACTCAGGAAAACCTAGCAGAACACATAGAGCAGAAGCATCTATTTGCTGGAGACAATCACTTTTTAAGATGTCATATGTAAAAACATTGGGTGAGTGGATAAAGAGAACCAGTGGTGAAATAGAGGATCTGGGGCTCGAGAGGAACATTTCTGTGAATAGTTCCAATAAGCCAACGGGATGCAGGATCACGATTCCTTAACCTCTTAATAATAGCAAACTTGGAATTAAGGGGAGTCTCCCTTACAAGTTTTTATAGCTGTCAGTTTTCTTAATATATCCAAATCCTCTGAGTACACTGTGAACCTTTGGGGATATTTTCACCTGAGAGGAGTGCTTCCACACCAGAAGATGGCATCAGATTCCATGACTGATGGTTGTGAGCCACCATGTGGTTGCTGGGAATTAAGCTCAGGACCTCTGGAAGAATAGTCAGTGCTCTTAACTGCTGAGCCATCTTTCGAGCCTTGGTGTATCTTATCTTAAACTTCCATGATACAGCCTTTTGTCAAGGGAAGGTTCTCAAGACAGAAACCCAGGGACAGGAAATGAAATAGAAGCTGGAGGAGTGCAGCTTTCTTGTTTGATGCCCATGGCTTGCTCAGCCTGCTTTCCTATACAGCCCAGGACCAGCAGCCCAGCCACAGTAGGTGGAGATCCCACACACCCATCATTGATGGTGAAAATGTTCCCACAGACTTGCCTACAGGCCATTCTGATGGAGGCATTTTTGTAAACTGAGGCTCCTCTTTCTCTGATACTCTAGACTGTCAAACTGACAAAAAAGGAAAAACCTACCCAGCGCAGATCTTCAAACTTTGGCATTTGGGTTAGGATAGAGTACACTGTAGCAATAAATTGTCAGTCTTTTTGCCAGGAACACTCATTATTTTATCAAGCTATAGTACTGAAAGTTTTTATATTATACTCCTGTTTTCATGTCTCTTCTAGAAGTGTACAGTGTGCAAGAAAACTGGTGCCTCAATCGGATGTGTTGTGCCCCAGTGTAAACGAAGTTATCACTTGCCTTGTGGACTCCAGAAAGAATGTATTTTCCAGTTCACTGAGAATTTTGCGTGAGTTATTTGGCTGCTAATTAAACATTAAGTATGAGGAGCTGGAATAATGATTTAGCAGTTATGAACATTGACTGCTCTTCCAGGGGACCCAGGCTTGCCTTCTAGCATTCACCTGGCATCTTGAAACTATCTGAAACTTTTGTTCCAAGGGACCCAGCACCCTCTCTTCTGGCCTTTGTGGGCACCTGGCATACAGTTGATGCACAGATGCATATGCTAGCAAAATGCCTTGTATACATTTAAAGAAATTTTAACTAAAAGAATTAAATATAAGTGTTAAAGAATGATGAGAAATGGCCCAAAGATACAGTTTCCATGTAAAATTACTTTTTAAAGTTGTCCTGAATTTATACATACTACATATGCAATATACATAAGGGGCATGTGTGTGAATGTGTACTTGTACATAATATTATATTGTATTACATATCATTTCCTCTTGGAGTTAATTCTATATGGTAAAACGTGAGTTACAAGGTCTGAGATGGACCCCATGATTATTACATTCAACTTTTAGCCCTAGGATGAACTTTTGATTTATGTTTCTCTGAAACATTTTATATCACACAGTTCAGAAATTAAATTGCCCTATATACTTTGTTGAGTTAAAAAACAAAAATCAAATTTGCTATGACATACCCCATGAGTTCAGCTTCAAACATGAAGATTTTGTGAATTTTGGCATTTGGTACCGTGAATATTTCTTGAGTCTTTGTATTTCTATTTATGTAATGGTTAGGCCAAATGGGGAAAAAACAAAGCCTTAGAAAATACAAAGGAGCCGGGCGGTGGTGGCGCACGCCTTTAATCCCAGCACTTGGGAGGCAGAGGCAGGTGGATCTCTGAGTTCGAGAGTTCGAGGCCAGCCTGGTCTACAGAGTGAGTTCCAGGACAGCCAGGGCTACACAGAGAAACCCTGTCTCGAAAAAACCAAAAAAAAAAAAAAAAGAAAATACAAAGGAAAGAAGTAGATTAGAAACCGTTTGTTACTTGCATAGGAAGTGTCACATGATGGATGTTGTTAAGTTCTTGTAAGTTAGGTGATACTGAATACAGTAGTGTATACTCCCCGGGTGCAAGGGTAAATAAATAGACTCTATTAGTAATTAGTACAGTACTGTGTACTCGGATGAAGTACAAGGGTAAATGTACTCTATTACTAACAGAATATTGGTACTAGTCTGTGAGGAAGTCTTACCACCACAAAGTTTGTTTCAAAGCATTTGACTTTCCTTGATGATAGGATGTTAGACTATAGGGCCCACAGTTGTGAAGTAGAAGAGGATGTTAACTGAGTTGTGTTTTTTCTTCCTTATATATTCTTAAAAAGTTTCTATTTTTAGGTCATTTTGCTGGACACATCGACCAGTTCAAACAATTGCATCTACTAAATACAGTAGCCCTTTACCATGTACCATCTGCTTGGAATTTGTCGAGCCTATTCCTACTTATAACATATTACAAAGCCCCTGTTGTAAGAATGCTTGGTTTCATAGAGACTGTTTACAGGTAAGATAGCTTTTTAATCTTTGTCTCCATAATCTAAAATCTATTGCTTGTCAATTTGAATTTTAATTTGGTGTCATGAAACAAAATATCATAAAATACCAGTATTCCTCTCTTGGAGCCTATAATACCTTTAGGAGTTCCCTTCTCACTTCTTAATAAATCTGTGTTTACTCTGCTTAAAGAAAACAGTATCATAAAAACCAACATTGGGGCCAGTGATGTAGTTCAGTGGTCGATTTCTTCCCTACTGTACATACGGCCCCTTGGTTCAATACTCACTGAAAACAAGCAGATGGACTACGGATTCAACTTGATTGAATGCCTTCATTTAGAACATTTTTAAATATTTTGAAAGAAATCCCATTTACTTAGTTTTGTATGAAAGTGCTGTTAGTCAAAACCAGGCCAAATACCAAAGATTTACTTAACTTTTTAAATCTTTCTTCATGTGTCTCCTTTAAAAAAAAAAAAAAAGGCACGTTTAAAGCTAGGCATGGCAGCACAGTAGTACTAGGCAGGAACTTCACCGTGGGCCTTCACAGGATGGTAGTGGAAGGGTTCAGAGAGAGAGATTTTTGGAACTCATTGCCCAAATCAGTCTAGCTGAACAGATGAAAAGACTGACTTCAACCTCTGACCTCCACATGCACACCCAGGAAGACATACATACACCACACACACATATGAATAACACTTTACTATAGTTGTACAAGATAGATACAGATTCTGAGCAGGAAACAGCTGCTCCAGGCTCCAGGCTCCTGCCCTGAGTTTCTTCCCTCAGTGATGTTGTGACCTCGGAGCTGAGCTGTAAGACAAAATAAAAAGAAGTCCTTTTCTCCTGATGGTGATGTTCACGAGTGTTTTTTATGGTGACAGAAAGCAAACTAGAATAGTATTAAAGTTTGAGAAAGTAAGTTGGTGACTGCCGGAAAGGCAAGAATAATGTATTCATAAGATGTTTTTTAAACTGAAGAAAGAGTTGTCTTTGTTTAAGATGACTCTGCTTATAGTTCTAAGAGCCATTGCACAGGAAATATTCTCATGGTACAGGAAAGCAAAGAGCATGTTAGTTACTTAATTCACAACCTGATGAGAGATGCATTGCTAACTAGATTTTCCCATTTTTGCTGTAGGTTCAAGCAATAAATGCAGGAGTGTTTTTCTTTAGATGTACACTATGCAATAATACCGACATCTTTCAGAAAGAGATGTTGAGAATGGGAATTCATATTCCTGAAAAGTGAGTAACATTTGGCTTTTTGACCAAAAAACATTTAAATGTAGTATTTACTAATATTAACAATAATCATGATTATGTCTGATTAGTGATTGTGGCTAAGTAGCCATGTCATATTGGGTCAAGTGCCTTCTCCCAGATGGCCAGCTTTTGGAGAACAGGCACTATGATGTCAGTATCTCGTTAGCTGACGTGTCTCAATCAAGTCCAGTTCTGGGCGATTTGTATAGCATCTTCAAGTGATCTAAGCTAGGCTAAATGGGTTTAAAATGGAAAAGGAGAATTTTAGTAATGCCACAGGTGAGAAATCCTGAGAAGTGATGGTAACCTTGAAAGTAAAAATTGGATCCCAGTCCTTGAGAGGCTGAGGGTTTGTAGGCCAGCATTGGCTGGGACTCTAGTTCCAGGTTTGTCCAGGCTACATAGTCTTGGGGCAGAGAGAGTGAAAGAAACACCAAACAAACATAATTTAGTCCCAGCACTTAAGAAGCTGGAGAAAAACTTGAATTTGAAGCTAGCCTAGAGTATAACAACAAAAAAATTGGAATACTAGAAAAATGTAGGTTTTAGAAAGTTTGTTCAACTCTTCACGTAGTATTTGAAAGTTTACTGTGAAATTGAATATAAGATAAATGAACATAGTGGATTTCTGTGCTGAAAAGATCAGCCTAAAAATGCTGTAACTGTAATCCTTCTGTAAACTATAAACTGTAAACTATCAATTCTGTTAAACCACAGCACACTTGATATCTTATTTCATTATAGAGACGCATCCTGGGAATTGGAAGAAAACGCATATCAGGAGCTGTTGCAGAGCCACGAACGCTGTGATGTTCGCAGATGTCACTGCAAAAAAGGCCGCGACTACAATGAACCTAACAGGTATTTCTGCAAGCTGTAGTTTGTTTAGCTGTTCCTTCCTGAGACTTAGCTAAGAATGTCGGTTTTCTAGTGAATTAGAGGATGCTTGAGGGTCTAACTTAAGACTAAGCATGTTTATTAAGTGTATATGTTACAGAGAAATTCTTGTAGTCCATATAGAAAATTTTTTTTTGTAAATTTTCATGAGCCAAGCTGAGGGGGTGTTGTAAGTGTAAATTACACACAGAGCTCCTGTAACAATACACTGAAGATTGTTCAGAGGCTAACGTCCCAGAACTAGGTACTTGTGACTGATTTCTCAAGAGTGTTGCCTGGAGATGATGCAGGTGACTGTCTCTTCACTGTGTCCTCGTGGTTTTCTCTCTTGTCTGTGGCCTGTCACCCTCTCTCTAAAAATGTTCCTGTTCATGTAATCTCCCTTACTATCAGAGGCTTAGAATGTAGGAGTCTTGTTTTTTCATAAAAATCGATTCTCATGAATCAAGTAGTGGGTGTGAAGAATCTCTGAGCACTGTCCAGCTTTTGAAGCATCCTGTATATCACGGGTCCCCTAATTTGCATCTACGATTTGATATTACTATCATGGTTTAGCCTTCTGTCTTGGAAGCTAACAGCTGTTACCTAGATGCTTGCCTTTTGTTCTAATGGTAGAAGGCAGCTGAGTGTAGTAGCTGGAGTATGGGTCTAAAGTCAGGATAACCTGGGTAGAGAACCTTACTCTAAGGCATGCGGCAAAATAATATATAAGCTTAGGGAAATTAGCTCCCTGTGATTAGGTTTCCTCCTCTTAAAGAATATACACAGTGGTGCTTCTTTCCACTTTCAAAATTGTGAGACCCTTAAGAGGGACTAGTATGTGATAAACACTATTATCTTCTTCCTCATTGTGAGTGGGCAGAACTCCTTTATAGAAGAGAGCCAGGCACCTACGCCCTATCCATTCACACTCTCAGGAGAAGATGCCCACACATACAGGTGTTGGGAGAGTATCTAGCACCTAACTGCCACAATATTTTCACATATTCAGGGAATATATTTGTTTCAGTGCAAAAGATTGTGTACTCATTCCCACACGATGTGAAAGAAGCTTCCTGCCCAGTACCGTTGTGTGTGTTGAATAGTTTTATGACAACTTGACACAAGCTAGTCCTTGGGGGTGGGGGAGAAACTCAATTGAGACAGTGCTTCCATAAGATCTAGCTGTAGGCATTTTCTTAATTAGTAATTGATCTGGAAGGGGCTAGTCCATATGGGTGGGGCTACCCTTGGACTGGTGGTGGGGTCCTGGGCTCTATAAGAAGGCAGGCTAAGTAAAATATGGGGAGCAAGCCAGTAAGCGGTGTCCCTCCATGGCCTTAGCATCAGCTCCTGCCCTTAGGTTCCTGCCCTGAATTCCTGACCTGTATTCATTCTCACAGTGATGGGCCCATAAATACTTTCCTCCCAAAGTTACTTTTGGTCATGGTGTTTTAATCACAGCAATAGAAACCCTAATATATGCACCTGTATGGGATGTATATGGATTATATCACAGGGCACACTGGGAGACAGGTGTGAGAATATGAATGTGAGCCAGGAACAACCTGTAGATCGTGCTGCATTTCACAGCACCCGAAATGTCAGAGCAAAGTTTTTTATTTGTTTGGTTTAGGATATACGGTGTACCTTGATACTGCAGATCAGATCCTGCTAATACTTGATACTTCCGTATCAGACATAGTGAACAGTAGTCTCTCTGTAAACATACTGTCTCAAATGTAAAGGAAAATATTTTTCTGCCTTTCTAATAACTACATTCTTTGTATATATGTATATATTGGTATTAGTTTAGATTTTTAAGTTAGGGATGTCTGGAGAAAGAGATTATAAAACTTAAAATGAGAGAAAATACTTTTAGAGTCATGTGTGGTGGGGCATATCTGTAATCACAGCACTTGGGAGAATGGCCAGCCTGGGCTGCATAGTGATTCTAGGCCAACCTGGACTACAGTTCAGACCTTTCCTAAGTTAGTCAGTACTTCAAAAGGGGAAATGAAGTATTGGAGGTATAGTCTTTTCCTTCCTTTGGTAGATGGTTGTGGTTTATGGCAGAGGGCTGAGCTTTAGGCAGAGCTGGTCATCTGAGTGTAATCCAGCACTAACAGACCGCACATGTGCTTTTGTCTGTGTCCTCAGCAAATGGGAAGTAAAGCGATGTCAGAGCTGTGGTTCTAGTGGAACACACTTAGCCTGTTCCTCACTGCAGTCTTGGGAACAAAATTGGGAGTGTTTGGACTGTAGAAGAATTAGCTACGCTTCAGGTAATAGTTTGTAATGTTGAATAAAGCTGGTTTTGTTCAAGTGCATGTTGTTGAAAATGTTTTGCCTGTGTTTCTGTTGAGCTAACTTCGAGATTTGAATATGTAGATTTCCAAAAGGCCCCCAAACACCCATTAGCCAACTCTACTAACTGCTTGTTGGAAGAGTCATCACCCAAGCTCCCCAGACTGTCAGCTGTCGCCCAGCATAAAGAACTACTGAGGTATGTATTTTGAATTTTAGGAAAACATACAAATCACTTGGAAGAAAGTTATGACTTCAAATGCCACTCATACATAGGCTATTGGCTGATAATGCAACTGTTTAGAAGAATGATGTTTCAGACTGTAGGACCCAGCATGGGATGCATGAAGTCAGGGAAAGGCAAGAGGAGGTAAAAGAGCTGTTAGTGGCCACAGAGCTAGAGTGGGGATTGGAGTCCAGCCAGAAACATGAGGATCTGTGTCATAAAGGAAGGGAAGAGGAATGAGGGGAGGGAGTGGGCGCGGGGAGGGAGGGGACAGCAAAATATCAGGCTACATTAATCAATTGGTGTATTTTTCTTCTATACTGAGTTATAAAATAATTTTGAAGATACAAACATCATAGAAAAATATCTTTACAACATTACTTGATTCCAGACTAAAGCAAGAAATTCAGATATCAAGCACAGCGTGTCCTCCTAGAAAAAAGTGCTGTTTAACACAAAGGTTGGTTTTCTTATGCTATAACCATTGCTTGCTCTCTATATAGTCAATGTCAGGAGCCGTAAATGTCAGCTTTCCCGTTAGAAACTCAAGGCTTAGCTTGTGCTTCTTTCTACTTTCACAAAGTTCTAGACAAAGTAATTCTTATAATCGTGCATAAACATTTAGATAAAACTAGAATTAAGTTTTATGTTTTATCAGGTATGTTTTTATAGCTATGATCTTTAACTTTGCATAACAAAAAAAAATTGGAGCCTTATTTTGCACTGTAAAAAAAATGTAACTGTGCATGAAGGGAAGTTTTTGAAAGTATTTAATAATTCTGTTTGTAGAAAAGTAGAATATTAGATACTTGCCAAAAAAGTGAATTACTAATTCAACTGAAAAACTTCTTATAAGTACTTTTATGCTAAAATGATTCATTGTCTTATATTCATGTAGCTTGACAATCATTTTGATATTTCGGTCTCCAAAGATGTTGCACTAGAGAAACTTGGCTGCTGGTTTCTGTTTTAATGTCCAGTCCTATGCTTGAAAAGCAGTAGCACTGCCGTTCTTAAGAAGCAAGAACACAACTGTTACAATAAAATATGTCTGCGGGGTTTGGGGAAGGACAGTGTGGCAGAAAGACGATCCATGTACATTGAGTCCATTACTTCTGCCTGCAGATCGAAAACTTGATGCAGGAAAAGGCTAACTCGTGCGACTCAGGGATGTTAGTACACAGAGGCTCTGATCGTGCAGATGGACCTTGGGGTTCAAGGATGTGTATTTGAAACTAGTTCATAGATGATCCTCTTGCTCTAGCACTTTAAGAATCGGTGATCTAGGTGGTCTACACTAAAAGATATTTAAGGAAATGTGAGTTTTGTTGATAATATTAGCTGTGTTATCTGTTAAAGCTTCATTATAGGTAATTGTTTTAGTTATTGAGCTGGAAGCAAGAATTCAAACTTTATACCCTTAAATCGGAGTCCACCTTAGACATTCAAATAATCTTAACATCGCTGCAAATGATCGTAAGTTAGTAGATAGTTATAGTGGGGTATTAAAAGTAGATAATCAGATAAGTGTTTCTGTTTATGGTTCCAGTATTAGAAAGAGACTATCTTTTTCAAAATTAAAAACTGAGCAAAACAAACACACCTACATCTTTTAATGTTCTACAACTGCTGTTTGACATAAACTCCTTTAATGTTCTTTATTCAACTCTGTATTTTATAGGCAAGGCAGCAAATTTAGGAGAGAGATTTCAACAATATTGATAGAGTTAGGATTCCAAATTAAAAAGAAAGCTAAGACATTATACATCAACAAGGCCAATGTGTGGAGGAGTGCCTTAGAGCAGTTCCGGAGCCAGAAGTTTAACCCTTCATACTCCATTGAAGTAGTGTATGTTAATGGCAATGATGAGTTTGGAAGCGAGCATCCGGGATCAAAGCAAGAATTTCTGAGTCACTTAATGCACCATCTTGAGAATTCATCAGTGTTTGAAGGGTCCTTGGCAAAGAACTTATCTCTAAATTCTCAAGGTAATTGCTTTTATTGTTATACACATGGAAGGTAGCATGTGTAGCCAAAACCAAGGTGCTTGGTTCGAGTATTCTTTAGGTATATCTGGAATAAATGATTTACATTTGTCAGTAAATGAGGATTTGATACTTTTAAAAGTAAAGACTGAAGTATATCTGGGTTTGGAGAAATGTCTTAGTGGTTAGGAATGCTTGCTGTGCTTGAAACGACCCAAGTCCAATGTGCAGTGCCCACGTTAAGCAGCTCACAGCTCCAGCTTCAGGGCATCCAACAGCTGTGCCCTCCCTCCTTGGGCACCTGAACTCTTATACACACACGGTTTAGTTATGCAGGCTCATAATTAAAACATAATTCTTATATCTGTACTATGATAGTATGATATGTTTATTTAGATTTTGTATTTTCTTGAATTTCATTTGACTCACATTACCAGGTGAAATGGATAGTTATTTGGGCCCTTCTTGTTCATTCTCCTTCGATTTTTGAGACAGGGTTTCTCTGTATAGCCTTGGCTGACCTGGAACTTGCTCTGTAGACCAAGCTGGTCTTGAACTTGAGATCAGCCTACCTCTGCTTCACAAGTGGGATTGAAGTAATGGTCATTATAATTAAGTACTTTGTGGTTTTTGTTTTTTTTTTTACAACATGGACTTTATGTTAAATGTGTTTTATGATTTATATCTAACTTTTTTTTTTTAAATGCACCAAGTCTCAGGACTGAGAGGCAAGTGTGGGGCTACTGCTCTGGAGTTAACACTTTTACATGGACTTGATAAACAGGATTTTCTTTTAACAATTTCATATGTGCTTTTCTATCTTCAGGTAAAGATCTATTTTGGTTGAGTAAACACTTGAAAACAGTGGGTAACTTGGTGTTTCTTCTTAGGAGGTTTTTCTTACAAGGAAATTGAAAAAGAATAAGAAGATTTATTACATTTTAATTTCTTCCTTTATCACTGTCTGAACCATAATTTTTTTTTCTATTTATGAACAACTTAGTTCTTCCCCTCTCTAATGCCTTCCCAAATAATTAGTTGCTACTCAAGGTGGTTTTGTCATAGTGAGTGGAAAGCACAGAAATGTAAGCTATAAAACCTGAATTTTAGTCTGTCTATATCTGTCTAGTGGCTCTTACTTTCATGATGAATTACCCTCCCTGGATATAGGGTTTTTTTCTTTTTTTTTCTTTTTCCAGCTCGAAAATGTAGCTGCAAATAAGATTATTAATGAAGATATAATATTTTAAATGTTACTCATTAATTGCTTTGAAGAACTAGAGTAATTATAAAATAACATTTACAAAGTTCCTTACCCATCATAATTACTACTAAAACATTTTTAATAACTTTTTTTTCAAGTATTTAAAGCTCTGAGTATGGTACGGTAGCATATAGTGTTGAGTAAATCTCCCTTTTTGTAAGATAATAATATATAGTGACAACCTTAAAAATGTTCATATGCTTTGATTCACTAATACCATAGTGTGGACGGACCTGCTCAAATCACGTGGTTGTTTGAGCCCGAATATGTAAGCTGATAGTGATTGCAACATCATGTCTCACAGTTAACTGCATCACAGAACCTGGATAGCCAGTTGGAGAGGACGCTTTGTACTGTAGTACGTTCTCAACTAATGCATCTAATAGCTGTGGCTGTAAACCTGGTTTGAGTAAATTTAGAAAATTTTATAATACAGTACTTGGGGAAAATCGGAATACAACTATGTATATATTTACTCAATAACAGACAAAACTAAGGCAGCGGATGTACACTTACTGTGATACAATTAATTATAATCACATTTTAAAAGATTATTTCATGTAAATGAGTGTTTTGCTTGTGTGTCTGTTTATGCACCACTTATGTGCCTGGTGCCTGCAGAGGTCAGGAAAGGGCAGCAGACCCCCTGAAATTGGAGTTACAAGTGAGTGTGAGCTACTGTGAGGGGGCTGGGAACAACCCATGTCCTCTGCCAGTGTAACTCCAGTGTCTGCTCACAGATAGTTGCTTTTTTCCCAGAGATTTACGTTTTGATCTACATTAGGTTATTTTTATCCAAGCGTGATGGTTTTAAATAGATTTCTAGGGAAGGTCTAAATACAAGATGGTAGCCTTTTACGGTTATTTTACAAATGTTTGAATTTTTAAATTACTTTCTGGCTGTAGATGTCTTCATTTTAGATTGTCTTATATAGTTTATTTTTATCTGTATTACAGCTCTGAAAGAGAATCTTTACTATGAAGCTGGCAAAATGCTTGCCATTTCTTTAGTTCATGGTGGCCCTTCACCTGGTTTCTTTTCTGAAACTTTGTTTAACTGCCTTGCTTATGGGCCAGAAAATACTCTACCAACTTTGGATGATATTTCAGACCTTGATGTGGCAGAGATTATAAGCAAGGTAAGAAACATACCTGTTCATTAAAATAAAAATTACATTCTAGTTGTATTTTCGTATAAGTGATAGATCATTGTACATACCCAGAGTTCAGAACCCAGTTCCGAAACTAATAGAGTTGAACACACCTGTATAAATGTCACCAATTTAAGTCTTCAAGGCTAGCCTGGGCTGCATAGTGAGACCTGTTTTAAAAACAACAACAACCAAAAAGGAACGTGAAAGTCAGACAGCTAGAGAGGAACGGTACGCTAGTCGGGACTAGCAAATTCTATATAGTCTGCAGGAGTTGCTGGGTGCAGTGTGTGCTTGTGCCATGGCGCATATGTAGACACCAGAGGGGAACCTGTGGGAATCAGTTTTCTTTTTTCAACACGTGGTTTCTAGGATGGAAAATGGACATCTCTTCTAAAATTCTTGGCATAATTTTATTCTACCCTGTTTTACTAAAGAGTTGGATATAGGACTGGAGATACAGCTCAGTAGTTAAGAGTGCATACAGTGAGCGACCTGGAGTAGTACTGCATGCCTTTAATCCCAGTGCTTACATGGCAGAAACCGGTGGATCCTATAATTCGTGGTCAGCCTGGTCCGCATAGAGAATTCCAGGCCAGCCCAGGGACTGCGCGTAGTTAATACTCTGTCTCAAAAAAAAAAAGAGAGAGAGAGAGAGAGATGATACTGCTTCTGGCAGAAGATCCAGATGAGATCCCAGCATGCATGCACGGCAGGCACCTCTCAGCCCCCTGTAGGTCCGTGTCCCCCACAGGCACCTGCACTCACAAGCACGTGTCCCACACACATTAAAAAAAAAAATTGTAAAATTGAAAATAGAATGCGTTATCTGCAAATAAATGGGTAACATGAGCATATTTTTCCTGTTACAGATCGATACTGCAGCTGATTTAAACACTTTAAAGTCAGTCATGAACGAATACTATAACTACCTAGAGTTTAGTGGATGTTTAAGACTCATGACAACATTAAATGATAAATACATGTTGGTAAAAGACATCCTTTTCTACCATGTAATTAAGAGAGTCAAAGCACCTTTTGAGAGGTAAGTTGCTTATTTCTATGTTAAAGATTCTATTAAATTACTTATGTTTATTTGGTAATAAATATAAATGTTTAATTTCAGAGAATTTTAATGCTGTTTAAAAATAATACTTTAAAGTTTGACCTCTCCCGAATGAGCCCTGTTCTAATTCTGTCCAGAATTACATGAAAGGGTTTCTCAGGGTTGGACTGTCAGCACTTCAGTTAGTCATCTCTTTCCTAGTAAACACTCACTTTTATAAGCATTTGAACTGCGATCTTACTCATTCATGGAATCAATATTGGACATCTGTCATCTGCTGGGTAAATAGGAACCAAATACAGTTGGCTTTAGCTACTTTTTATTTATTTTTTTAAGACCCAGGCAGTCTTCCAAGTCTTTATATAGCTAAGGATGACATTGAGGTGTGTTATGCCTTCTGTACTTCCCAAGTGCTAAGATGACAGATACATGCTGTCGTGTCTGGTCAGTAATCCCAAGTCAATCCTAATACTTAAGGCTAATGTAGAATTATGGGCTAAGACAGTTCTCAACCTTCATGAGGCTCCGAGCCTCTAACACGGTTCTTTATGTTGTGCTGACCCACAACCTTAAACTTACTTCATTGCTACTACTTTTTTTTTTAAATTTCCTTGTTTTTTTTTAATTACATATGAGATAAAACTCTATTTTCAAAACCATAAAAAGATGGTCAATACTTTATTTATGACTTACATTTTTTTCTTTATTTTTACTATACGCTAAATCATAGGAAAAATAGTCTTTCCAACTGTCAAGTTCTTTCTTCCTTTTATGGGTCTCTTGGATGTCTGTTTTCTCTACAACGCAGCGTGCACGCGTGCATGCACGCACACACACACACACGAGGTATATGTACATATACTTAATCTGTATATTATTATTTTGAATGTTCAGATGTTATCACTACTCAAAGAACTTTTTCTTGATGAAAAAACTTAAGCCAGATTGTTAGTTCCTCATCTCTGTTCAGCTGACAGGTTAACTGTAATTTTGCTACTGTTGTAAATTGTAATGTCAAGATATCTGACCTGTGGGAGTCTCCACCCACTGGTTGACAATAACTGGGCTAGAGAAATGGCTCAGCAGTCAAGAGCACTGGCTGTTCTTGCCAAGGACCCAGGTTTGGTTCTCAGTACTGCATGACCTCTAAAAACCATCTAGCGTCCTCTTCTGGCCCCTGGGCACTGTACTCACGTAGTGCACAAACATGCATTCAGGCAAAGCTAGCCATACACATAAAAAGAAACCTTTTTTTAAATGGATACTGGAGAAATAAGAGTACACAATAATTACTTGCTTGATTTATCCAGCATTTCATAAACACCTGTCTCAGAACCAGCAACATGCTGTCAAAATGGAGTTGTTTTCTTTTGTACAGAGATTCATAGCCCTAATATGAGTAGTCTCTGGGTAGCTGTACTGTAAACTTGAGTATTTCCTTTCAAGTTTTAGTTTTTAAATTTTTATTGATTATTGTAAACTTGGACAGAGATATCTAAGTGGTTATAAAATTCTTAATGTTCCTGTTTTAAATGTAGAAAGTGAAGTATGTTTCTAGCCTCATTACCTCTGTTTTCTGTATGCTTGTCAAATAAACCATTTTGTCATTTTGGTGGGTTTTCTCCAGTTAGGTGTGTGCATGTGTACACATCTGTGTGGGTGAGTGTGGGCCAGAAGAGCTGGTCAGGGTCCTCTGTCAGTCTCTACCTACTCCTTTGAGGCAGGGGTCTCTCCCTAAACTTCTCTACTGGGCCTCCTCCTGTCTTTCTCTTCCTGGACTGGCGTTGTAGGCATGTGCAGTTTGCTTGGCCTGTTGCATGGGTTCTAGGATCTGAGCTTCATTCCTGGTGATAGCACAACAAAGCCTCTTAACCATTGAGCCAACTTAACAGTCCCTCATCATTTTCCTTCTTAATTTTAAATCTTAAATAATAGCAAATAGTACGTATTTATTTCATCAAACATCATAGTGTTCCAGCCATCCCTTTCTTTCTTTCTTTTTTAAGCATGACAGTGTAGTCTCTAGACCATGCCATAACAATGATTAGACATTTTTCTCCTTTTTACATTTTTGTTTTAATTTCTTGAGGCAGGGTTTCTCTTAGCCCTGGCTGTCCTGAAACTCACTGTGTAGACCATGCTGGCCTTGAACTCAGAGACCTGCCTTCCTCTCCCTTTGGAGTGTTTTCATTAAAGACATGTACCATTACACCTGGTTCCTTTCCTATTTTATAGTTTTTCAAGAATCCATTATTTTGATATATCAATTTGATTTTTTTTTTCTTCACAATTCATGCTTTAATTCCACCTGCTATCTCTCTCTTTAATTCCCCTTGGACCATTTACTCCTGTCAATATGCACGTGGGCGTGGGGACATCTACTGGAGTATGGGCAACCTAGTGATGGCTAAAGTTCCAAAGAAAATTGACTATCTCTTCCCCATCTGTCCACAACTGACAGTAGTTCCTCAGCTAGTAGGACATTGTAAGCCGCTCTCCCCGATCCATGCTGGAATTTTTTTGATGAAACCTTTTTTTGTGGGTTCTTAAATACAACATCTATGTTATATCCTGAGACAGATTTTACAACACTTCCTCCCATTTTCCAGCTTTTACATTCTTTTTGTCCCTTTTCCCCTTAGCATGGGAAGTGTATGATGAGGTGTAGGGAGATGAACAAAGGTGTCCCATTTAGGGCTGAACACTTATTCTCAGTACTTTATCTAGGTGCAAGTCTTTACTGTTCACTGCAAAAGTAAGCTCTGACCAAGGTTGAGAACAGCCCAGATCTATGCTTTAAACAAATTCAGAAGACAGTCTGACAAAATGACTGGTTAGCAAAGTACGAGTAGTTCTCTTCTAGGAACTATGACATGGAGGTTTGATCTGGCTTATGGTTCCATTCCTCCCTTCTGCAAAGCATCCAGAATAGGCTTGCCACTTGGTCCCGGTGAACACATCTGGCCTGGTAGGTTATTGTGGCAGGCATAGTCCAGTTGTAGCTGAGACTGGTGATAGCTTTTCTCCCTCTGTACCTGCATAATACCTTTGGCATTCTGGAAGCTGATAAGCAGTGAGGTAGTGTATTGTTGGGCAGGAGACTGACATTTCCCTGTTTCTTGCACTCAAGGTTCATGGTGCATGCATGCATGCATCTGTAAGGTTTTAACATATAGTTGGGTAGGCAGCCAAGAGCACTGGCAATTTTCTCTGTTACAGACCTTTGAGCCACCCTACGTACAGGGACTTATCCCTAGGATTTTCTGTAGCAACCACGTATAGGAAGTTTGTCCAGTCATGCAACATAGTACTTACTACTTTCAATAAAATATAATCTTAAATCTAGAAAGGCAAGTGATTGTTTTCATAATTATCAATCCAGCTGCTTGTTGATTTGAAAGTATATCCTAGTATTTTATCGCATATCTAAAGGCATGTAGTAGTTTTTGTTGGGCTGTTTTGTTTTTTGTTTGTTTTAATCAGCTATTTATAAAATGCCAGGTAAGGAAGGGCTGGAGAGAAGGCCCGGAGGTAAAGAGCACTGACTGCTCTTTCAGAGGTCCTCAGTTAAATTCCCAGCAACCAACCATGTGGTGGCTCACAGCCATCTGTAATGAGATTTGGTGCTCTCTTTTGGTGTTCAAGCAATATTCAGGCCCAACTCTTTTGGTGTTCAAGCAATATTCAGGCCAGGTAAATTTGTATAAATTTACGTATGTATGTTGCCTTATTACTTCTCTCTTCAAGTTTTAAACAGGGTCTGAAAACGCTTGGTGTTTTAGAGAAAATTCAAACTTACCCAGAAGCATTTTATAACATCCTCTGTCATAAACCTGAGACTCCCTCTGCAAAAAATCTCAGCGACCTGTTCACAGTTCACGTGTTACCCGACGTACAAACTTTGAGGTTTTGGAACAGTTACTTAGCGGCTGTAGAGGGTATGTGAAGTTTTTTTTTCATTATGTTTTTTATGATTATTTGCTCTTGCCCTAGGAAGACTTAAATCTGTTACTTGTATTTACAAAGGAAACAAGCATAAGATAAAAGTTATGAGAAAAGTTACTCAGTATACTTATATCATAAATACAAACAGATACATAGTTTAAGATGGAAACACTTTTCTTATTAAAAAAAAAAAAAAACCTAAAACTTTAAATATGGGTGTTCATGACAGCAAAGAGCAGTCTTGAAACTAATTTCTGTTTCATCTGTTTCAGTTTAAAGTCAAGCTGAATTATTCTATATTACTCATGATACCATTAGTATTTGTTAATATTACCTATATTACTTCATTTTATAAAAGAAAAAATTTTTACTTTTAACTTAATTTCATATAAATTTTTGGTTTTTACGTTTTAGAGTTTTTCTGCATTTATTAAGCTATCATATTAGTGATTATATAAAAGAAGTTAACAATAAATGGGTAGACATTGATTTTTTTTTTTTGAGTCCTACATTGATTTGCATATTGAATGTACTGCTTAGCACACTCTGTATCTTAGTTTATCCTAGATGAATGTCAGAATCTGTTACTTTAGTAATCTCAATCTAGTTAGAGTCTTTGCTGACAATGTATGTTCCATGGATTTAATTATCTTTCCTCTTCAATTGCTAACTTTTCAGATGGTAAATCTGCAACAACAATGGAAGACATTCTTATTTTTGCAACTGGTTGTAGTTCTGTCCCACCTACTGGATTTAAACCCTCTCCTTCACTTGAATGTCTACATGTGGATTTTCCTGTTGCAAACAAATGCAAAAACTGTTTAACTCTACCAGTCACCAATACATATGAAGAGTTCCAAGAAAATATGGATTTTGCCATAAGAGACACTATAAGACTGGAAAAGGAGGAAAGGTCGCACTACCTCGGACATTAAATGTTTCTTGTAATGAAAACATGCTTCTTTAAAGGCTGCTATTGATACCTATTTTTATTAATCATCACTTTTGAACATTCTGGCCAGCTTCTTGGTGCAACAAAATTTATGACTTTCTCATAAAGGGATAGTTTGGTTTCTCAACCACTGAAGGTTTGGTTAAGGCCTTCTCGTCATGTTTGGTGATAGCTTTCTATTACTGTGCTGCCTTCATAACTCCAATATGAATATTTTCTATCACTGTGCTTTCTTGATAACTTCATATATTTTCGAATGGTTGTACGAACCGTTCACCTGTACAGGAGCTCAGCTATATTAGCGTGACATATTAAAAAGTGTTCTCTCGATTTTTTTATAAATTAGAATTACCTTTTTAGGATCACACTTTTTTTAGCTTTGTTCAGTTATCAAATTTGTTTGGTTTGGTTTGCTTTACTGTTTGTGTTTTTTTTCTCTATATAGTCCTGATTGTCTTGGAACCTGGCTATGTAGAACAAGCTGTCAAATTTCTTTATTTTAAGCATTAAATAGAAAAGTTGGCTAAGTCATCTCATCAATCAGAGATATTTTTTAATGTTTTTTAATTAAGTCACCAATACAACAATTAAATATTGAGTAGTTGGAAATAATGTATAAAAAAACAAAGCTTTATAGATAACTCTAGAACCCATGTGTCCTTAAGCTTCAAATCATGGCTGAGGAGTTTTCAGATGTGTCTAAAAATACCTTAGAAAGTACATATTGTTTATATCAGTGTGTAGTCAGTAATGTGTCATATTTGAAACCATCTAGGTGTCTGAAGAATCTCTGTGGACAGTCATATGGTTTCACTACATAACAGTTATTTATTATTAAGATTGTTGTATGATTGGTAAGATCTCACCGTAGCATTCTATAGTTACCTTCTTTTGCTTTCAAAAGATACATTGTATAATCAATGAATAAATAATAATTTAAAACTACAAATTAAAAAAATACTCTAATTTTGCCACATAGAGATAAATAATGTATTTTGTATATTCTTTATAAACTATTTATTTTTCAATTTCTATTATCTTATGACTGGGTCTTTCTATAGACCCCAGCTGTTCTAAATTTGCAATCTTCCTGCTTTAGCCACTTAGGTGCTGGGGTTATGACGTATATCAGTGTGCCCAGCAACGTTTATTTTTTGAGTATATTAATGGTATCAAGAGTAACAAGAAACCATGTAATAAAATCAAGATATGTACAGTCTCTTTTCAAGGCATGATGGCATATGCTGGTAATCCAAGTCCCGAATGACTAAGGCAAAAGGATCAGGAGTGATAGCGCAAGTTTAAAACCATCCTGGCCTACAGGAGACCCTGCTCAGTAAAGAAATAAATGAGTACATGACCCCCTTGATGGTAATGTCTTCACACATTAACACATAGTGTGTGTTAGCTGTTGGTCATGTATTGTTACTCCCAAGAAACACAAGATTTAAAAGGTATTCAGATCCCTTAAACAACAGGATTGAGCTGGTATTGGTAATGCCCTTCTTAATGCCAAAGGAAAACTCAGTTGTTATCATAGTGCCGTTTTCTTGGTTACCTCAGAACCTTCCAAGTTGTGCTTAGCAGAACTAATAAAGTTTCTCTTTATCTTGAGCATTTAGCAGGAAGGCATTTCTTTATCTTGTGTTACGTTTTGCTAGACATTTCAAAAGTAATTAAGTGATCCATCATGAATAGTTTTAACCTTAAACTCAATAGACAGCTTTTATTCCAAGTGTGTTGATAAGTTGGGTCTTTATGTTTTAACTTATTTAATTCCTACAGAGTTTTAAAGGCTGTTAAATTCATACAACTCCAAAATGCTATCTTTCAGCTTGTAGTTTGAGTTGGTTTTTTTTTTTTTTTTTCCCCTAGAATAGTAATTAAAGCGAACACAGCCCTCATAGAGCATTGGGTGGGATTATGGAGCATTCGACTGGCTGGATACAAGTGATTTTATTGCATTTACTCAGTACATAGAACATGGCCTTGGTGGCGAGATGGTCTAAACATTAACAGGATACTTACTTCTTCAAATGAAACATCAGATTTCAAAATGTCTTCTGGTTCGAACCTTTTGTTCCATGGTCTTTAGATCAGTCTGTATACACTTGAGGCTTATCAGAGAAACTGCAGCGTGACTATGTCATGCTTGCAATTGTTCCTATTCTGTTTCATAGTATAGTTCTCTTATTAACATACTTAGTTTCAAAATTATGAAGGAACAGTTTTATGTTTGGTGAAGTAAGAAGCCTGAACTAGTATGGTCTCTATTGTCTGCATTAATGTTTCCCCCTAATATTGGAAACTTTTGGAACTTGCACATTCAGTGTTTGTAAAGGGGTGTATAATGGTAATTTTTCCCCATGACTTTCCTTTAGCATTCAGTCATAAGAAAATGGTAAGAACTAGACTCTGTTGATACACATGGTTACTATTACATATTTGTTATGCTTCAGATAATACAGTGTAAAGCATTAAACACACACACTTAATGATGAATCACTTGAATTTATATTATCTGTAAGTCAGGAAATTTTGTAGTCCTTGAAAGAGACCCAGTTTTCAAGTTCTATTTTAACCTCCTTCAGATATCATCTACAACCCACTGTGTACCAGATTCTATGCTTAGAAATCATTTATAAGTCGGCCTGTTTAAAATGTATCAAAACACACAGTGCTGGAGATACAGCAGAGTGGTAGAATGGTTCTCCTAGCTTGCATGGGTTTAATTTTAAAGTATGACCAAAACATTAAAAAAAAAAAAGCATGAACACTTAACAATAACATTTCTAAGTAAATGTTTTTATGCCACTAAATGTGAAGTTGTGAGGTGCTTCTACACTAAATAAATGTGTTAGGATTACTATTGCTGTGATGAAAACTGACCAAAAGCACCTTGGGAAGGACAGGGTTTATTTTGCTCACTTCAGTGTCACTTTCTCAGTGAAGGAAGTCACGGCAGGAATCTTCAGGTGGGGGTTGATACAAAGCATTTGCTGCTTGCTTGCCATGGCATGCTTATTTGTTTTCTTACAGAAACCAAGGCCACTGGTCCAGGGGTGGCACTGCACACAGTGGGCCAGGCCTATCCCATCAGTCATTAAGAAAATGCTTTTCAGGCTTGCCTACTTCCTGATTTTATGGAGACATTTTCTCAGTTGTAGTTCTCTCTCCTTGGATGTTTCTAGCAGTGTCCAGGATCTAATAAGGATGTGATGATCTGTTAATGCAGATATGTTTCTTTTCCTTTTTGTTAGTATATAATTGTTTTATAAAAAATGGCCATCATGACATTTGTGTACACATATGTTATGAACTTTGGTCATACTCCCTCCCCTTATTACCTCATACTTATCCCCTCCCCCCATTATTCTGATTTTCTCTGATTTTATAGCCTAGCAGGCCAGAGCCCTAAGCTAGGTCATTTTCCTGAATTGAGTATTATTAGTATTATTGTCTTAAACAAATACTCCGTTTACAAGGTTAATAGTCTTATTAAAGTGGGTAAGATTCAAGATCCTTTACACTCCTCGTCTGAGTGCTCTTGGAACTCAAGAATGAACTGTTCTGGGCTATTTTCCTATGATAAAACCCTAATGTGGTTCAGTTATTTAAATCAAAAAAATCTGGAGCTAGATAAACAGCTACAGTAAATTCAACTCTGAAGTCATGATTTTTATTCTCATAATACAATATAAATATTATTGGTCTTAGCTTTGCAAGGACTTTTATATAGTTACTCTCTGAGGAGTATATTTTTGTTTATTCTCCACATTACACACTATTGGGCAAAAATACAAACATGCACACTGTATAAACGTTAGCATTGTCTTAGTATTTTATATTGTGCCTTATGTAGTCTTGGAAGGAGTTTGTAATGGAACTGAAAAAATGGTTAAATGACAAATTTGTACTTAAAAGTGGGCGAATAAGATTAAACTCTATAAGAAGGTGGAAAAAACAGTTTCCTTTATAGTCCTTGTACACCAGAATCCTTCCCCTGGGGCACAAACTGTTAATTTTAGATAGCCTGTTGTAACTTTATAAAAATAGGTATCTTTCTATCTGTCAAATAGAGCTCATGTTTGTATTGTAAAAATGCAATCTTGATTTTAAAAAATAAAATTATTTGTATAATTTTGAAAGCCAAATTTTCGAAAGTATAATTTCATCTCAGGACCTGACTGCCTCAGAATTAACCCCTAATGCAATGTCATTAGTGGATTCATTGAGTTGTCACTGTATATACTTTTGACATTAATAAAATGTATTAAATGGACGATATGGGCTTTATTTCACAATCACAGGACTTTATCCAGATTCTTCGCAAAATCGTTTGTTTTTTAATTTTGAGGAAATTCTGCCATTTGGCTTTTCTCTGATTTTATAGCCTAGCAGGCCAGAGCCCTAAGCTAGGTCATTTTCCTGAAGAAATCGGACTGAGAAAATTACCACGTTTGTAGTTTTTGTTTTCAGAGAAAAGAGGGAAGGGACACTATTGTCATGGAAATCAACAAAACGCAATTTGTGGCGTCTCATTTGGTCTTGTAATTTTTACGAAGATTTACACTTCATGAAAAGCGCAGAATCAATTAGATTCTAAGCGCTACACCTCTTAGCCCTGAGAAGCAGGTTAAGAGTAGCGATCTCAGGAGGCTTCCTCCGATTGGTCGGAAACGCTGCTGGGAAATAGGGAAACACCAATGTCTGGGGCTGAAGGGGCGGGCCGGGGCTGAGGGGGCGGGTCCGCTACCTCGACCTGCCCCCTGGTTCTGCTTCCGGCGCGGGAGGTCGGGCCACGTCATCTTCGGGCTCCCAGTGCCAGCCGGGCAGTGGATGGTGGGAAGCAAGATGGCGGCCCCGCCCAGCATTCGGGAGAGGCAAACAGGTACTCGGTATTTCCTTCTCTCCAGTTTGTGCCTGAGCAGCGGCCTCTCTCATCATCTCTGGGTTGTTCGTACAGCTCGGAGTTGAGCTTCGAGAGCTGCTCCACTTTGAGGTTGTGGGGAAGAGATGGCTATAGCTTCACAGGCTTTGCCTGTGGTACAGGAGGTTTAAGTAGGCTGGTTGCTACAGTGCTGGCTACTTATCTTTTAATTACAGAGTTTCAGAAGGCCGTCACGGCAAGGGTTGGCAGCTGGTGTTTTCTTTTCTAATTGTCACTTAACGAGGTCTATAGGTTTGTTGTAGATCAAGTCTCCCAGGTTGGTTTGGTTTTCACTTTCAGTTTTAGTTTTTGTTTTTAAACCTGTTTTTGACACTTTAGCCATTATTACAAAATCTGAGTATTCTTTTCAGAGCTCCTTTATGCCGCATTCTTTGGACCCGTATTGGTAGAAGCTGAAGAAAAATGCCAGGTGATAATGATTTCCTTCTTCAGCTTGCTGGAAGGGACTTCAGAATGTCCATAAAAATTAATTTAGCAGCGTCCTATTTCAACTGTTCGACAGATAGTAATCTTAAAATGTATAATAGTTGTATCTTAAGTAAAACATATTTGCACACCCATTTATAAAGCAAAATAAATTTAAGGATACATATTCCTTTGGTTTTAGTTTTTTTTCATGTGAGATACACCTGTTTTTCCTTATTTTGAGTAAACAACTCTAGTAACTTGGTGTATGTATATTGGCCCCAAAATAATTTATTTATTTATACACATATATGTATATCATATATAAGTGTGATATGTATAAATCATAAATGATTTACATATGTATGCAATACTGCTTGTCTAGAAACTTCCAAAGAGAATAGAAATAGGCCATAAGCCATAAAGAATTTTAATTATCTTGAATGTGTGCTTGTTTGTTACAGACAATACAACATAGCAGTAGAATTTCAATGGCCGGATTCCTTCCCTTGTCTTAAAAAAAAGAATGATAGATTTGAATGAAGCATACTGAACAGAAACCATACTAAATTGTACATTTCTCAGTAGGTAATTTAGTAAAACTGGTCATGGTAAAGCATAACTTAAATATGGTAAATATGATTTGAGAATGCTTGATAATTAATTTTATTTGCAAGCAAATAGAAGCCTAGCTTCTCTTAGAAGTTTGGGTACAGTATCTTAATAAAACTAAGTGAACTAGATTTTACTACCCATTAGTAAAACTGTCCTGATGAAAGGGAGCCTTTTTTAAAGTTTAATTTATACAACAGTATATTTTAATATGCAGACATTGTAAAACTGCACTGAGAATTTATCATTAGTTTAGGTAGTTTCTGTTATCTCTATTTTACAGCTGAAGAAACTAAAGTACAAAGGTGTTGACTAGCATGCTTATGTCTTGGTTTGTCTCCCTGTAGTACCTCCGTCACCTCAAATGCCACCTTTGTGAAAGATTCATGAATTACTTTTCTTCTCTTTCCTGTCTAACATTCAACAGTCGGAGTAAGCTGTTTCCGCCTGTTATTCAGTGTTACATGGCCCAAATCAATTACTTTTTCCTCTTGTGATTTCATCTGGCCTCTTAGCTTTCAGTATTATATACTGATGACTTGGTCTTCTGTTGCTGTGAAGAGACGTCATGAACATGACAACTCTTATAAAGGAAAGCATTAATTGAGGCTTGCTTACAGTTTCAAAGGTTTAGTTCATTATCATCATGGTAGGGAGAACGTTGGCCTGCAGGCAGACATGATGTCAGAGAAGTAGCTAATAGTTGTTCACCCAGATCCACAGATAGCAAGGAGAGAGAGTCCGGGCTTGGAAAGGGCTTTTTGAAACTTCAAACCCCACCTCTAGTGACACACTTCCTCCAACAAGGCTACACATCCTAATGCTTTCAAATAGAGCCACTCCCTGGTGACCAAGTCGTTAGATCTCTAAGTCTAGGGGGACCATTCTCATTCAAACCACCACAGCTGGTGAGTCCCATGGCTACATGGCTAGTGTAGACGTCTATTCTGAAATCAGGCCACTTGGTATCATTAATGAAAGCTTCTTTCTTATGGTTCCTCATGCAAAACTCCATGTGGTTTTTCTTTTCTTACTTTAACTCAATTCAGATTTATCAGTAAATCATGCCAGTTTTACTCTGAAACTGTCCAGTACCTGTTGCTATCCCCAACACCATCTCCTTGAATTTCTGCAATAAAGTTTCTATCTGTGCTGTTCGTTTTACAACCTTGTTCCCTTTCATTCATTCGCAGAATGCACCCATACTAAGCATGACACACATTTGTGTAAAACCTTTTGATAGCTTCTTGTTTTGACTATGATGAAGGAAATCCGTCTCCAAGTTCACACATAAACTGGTCTCTGCTTTACTGGATCACTTTGTTACTTTGTTACCTTTCCTCAAACTCCACACCTGGATCCCCCACCCACCCCCACCTCCATTTGTTTCCTCTCTGTAGACTCTCCTTTCATAGTAATTTATGTGGCTCACTTCCTCTAGGCCTTTACTCAAATGTGCATTTCTCAGGAGACCTTCCTAATCACTATTTCACATTGGATCTCACCTCACTTTTCTCCTTTCCTGTTCCCATTGTTTTTCCACAGCATTTATCATGATCCCATACATCCTAGGTCTTACTTAATTTGTAAATGACCTTTGTCCCTTGACAATAATGAAAACTACGTGAGGACAGGTAGTTTTTATTTGGTTTGTTTTCCTTCATGTGATGCCCTATAGTTAGGGCAGTATCTAGTACGTAGTAAACACTCAGTAAACATTTGCTGAATGAATGAATAAGTGAGCAAACAGTACATATAAATGACAGTGTTTACTCAGTGAATGAGTGAAGATATTTTTCTGGGTAATGGTGAAGTTAACCAGGTGTAAAACTGTAGGGTAATATATTTAGAGCCCATAAAGGAAATTAGTTTATTGTTTCCATTAGAATCAGTGATTCATAGAGTGCTAAGCTCTGGTCAAGTAGAATTACATACTTTTACCACTCTTTAAACATACACTATATGCTTTATTAACAAATTACTTGTATCAAAACATCTTTGAACAAGTTAGCCAAGGCTTGGAGTTGGAGACGCTTTCCTAGTTGAACCAGAACAATGTGAGATGGTCTGCTGGAACTGTCTTTCATGGTGAGATGAGCTAACGTCTATTAACTCTGGAGAATACCACATGCCAGCTTACATGGCAGCCAGGCTGCGGTTCTTCCTGCTTGTCATTGAGTCAAGAATATGATCAGCTTCTAGAAACAGGGTTTCCTTGTGTCTTCAGTGCCTGGGTGTGGGAGGAGAACACCACTGAAAGCAGTCTGAATCCAGGAGAACTGGGTTTGTGCTAGTCATGTGTATTTATAGAATTCTATGACCTCTGTCACTCTTTGAAGTAGGCATAAGTTGTTGATAATGTGTATACTGTAGTACCAGCATTTTCAGGGAAAATAAATATAGGTTGGGCTAGCAATATGGCTCATCAGGTAAAGGTACTTGCCACCAGATTGATGACCTGAGTTTGATCCCTAGGACCTACATGGTAGAAGAAGAGAACCAACCCCCACAAATTGTCTCATGGTCTCCACGTGTGTGGAATGACATAAGTGCATGCACACAGGTACACACAATAAGTGTAAAAAATAAAAACAGTCATGTACACATATAAATATCCTCCTTTACTTAGCTCTCTGTATCCATGGTTTCGCATCTGCGGATTCAGACAACTGCAAATCAAAATGATTATAAGTAAAATGTGTCTATACTAAATGTGTACGGACATTTTTCTTGTCATTGTTCCTTAATGAAGTACAACAACCTGTCATTTACATTGTTTTAGGTATTAATAGCTAATCTGCTATGGCTTAAGGGAGTTCCCCTAGGTTATGTGCAAATACTATAGTGGTTTAGTTTTTAAAATATCAGAGATTTATTATTAAATGTGAAGGATTTGAGCATCCCAGGCATTGTAGTATCTAAAAGAGGTTCTGAAGTGGACGGCTGAGGTGTGCCGAGGCGCAGTCTTCTCAAGGATGGTGCTGAGCAGCATTCTCACCTGCCTACCCTGACCTGTGTTTAGTAACAGTTCTTCCGATGTGTGGCTGGGCTGTAAGGGCGTTTGTGTATTGGATAGTGCTATATTTGTAGTTTGGGTTGTTGATTATTCCGTATTACCTAATGTCCAAATGCATTTAAAAATCAAAGTAGCCTAGCATGGTCACACATGTCTTTGATCCCAACACTCAGGAGTCAGAGGAAGGCAGATCTCTGAGTTTGAGGACACCCTGGTGTACATAGTTACAGGGCAACCAGAACTGTATAGTAAAACCTTGTCTGAAATAAAATAATAAAGTAGATTTGAAGGAAGTCAC